TGCTCTGTTGCTCTCATTCCTTCCTTTCCTTAAAACTCAAGTTGCCTTCCACCTTTTGGTTTGCAACTAATTCCTCCCGGTTAGTCAAATTAAGTCTCTAACGGCTGTCACCTGGGTTATTTGCTGGAGAAAAAAGGAATACTTGAAAACTTTGTGGAATAGTGAACGTCTTGGTTTGTTGAGTTTTAAGATTTTTTTAAAAATCATTACGAGTTGTGGCCAGACCAACATTCATGAATCAATTTGTGTTGTAACAGATTAGAAGATAGAATTTCAGTTGTTGGGTTGTATGTCATTATCAAAATCAGATATTTTATGGAGAAATTCCATCTTTGACTAACCATATACTGATACTAATTTTGACTGAGGCAATGCACTTTATCAGGGACCTGTAAAGTAAAATAAAAGAAAAAACTGGATTATGTTGTTTTTGGCACCATTTTCAGTGATGCCTCCGTCCCTCATTTTCCTTCCAATTTTTACAAGCAATTATGAAATGACTAATTCAGGCTTAAATCTTCTAAGCACACATTTTATACATACATTTAAAAGTGTGTATGTGCGCGTGTGTATCACTCACCACCACTGGGATCCGATGAACACAGAAAATAGTACCATGGCCATGGGAGGATGTTCTTCTCTCTCTCTCTCTCCAGTGGCACGTGCACAGACTGCACTGAAAGTCTAAAAGAAGGCAAGCCACAGCAATTTTGAATGGGTTGTGGCACTACTGGATTCACTGCCCATGCCACAGGCTGTATGCTGTCTCTAACTGCCCCACATAGACCCTGCTGGACTGCGGTAATGTACTCTAGGTACTTAGAATGCATCAAGAGTCTACACAGCTCAGTTAGAGTGTAATATACAGCTTGTGGCTTGGGCAGTGAATCCCTGCTGTGGCTTGCCTCCCATCAACCCCTCACTGCATAGTTTGCAGCGGGAGGAGAAGCTGTGGGGGGAGAAGGGGCAGGAGGAGGAGAGAGTGAATGTGTCAGAGCAAGGAGAAGAGGCAGAGGATCATTCTGGGAAGAAGGTCCAGGCCCGAGGCCACATAGGAGGGCAGCTTTCCTAGGTCTGACTCTCCTCCCTATTTGAGAGTGGGGCACATTGAGGGAGGGAGGGGTCCAGGGATCCCAGGATTCGCTAGTTGGCTATAAACAGGTAGGGGAGAGGACAGCGAGGGAGAGGTTTAGGTTTCTCTGGGGTGACTGGACGGGAGCAGAGAGAGGCCCAGGCAACCTCCCTAATTCCTCCCCTTTTTTTCCCCATTAACATCCCTGAAAGTCTTACCGCAAGGTTGGCATCTTTGCCTTTAGATGTAAAATTTTGTTGTTTTTTTTAAATAGAGAATATTAAATATTCACCTAATTTTTCTGGGGCTTTTTGTAGGGCTCAAACATGGGCAACTCATGTATTTTTAAAGGTATTGAACTGTGTCTACACTAGACACAAGGTCATGTTTAAGATTATGTTAACGCTTTCTCAAGCACACCCTATTTTCCTAATCTGGAAAAGTACTTTGTAGACAAGTGGAGAACAGGTAGTCTTGACACCTATTTTAAATTAAAGACATGATGTATACTTAAGAAGACAAGCTCAAATGAGGGATAAGAAAACTCTCAAGACTCATTTGTGACCTATCTTGACCTCAGGAAGACCAGATTTAACATTAACATTTCAAAAAAATTGGAATTAACTAGTAACAAATTTAAGATCGTATGTATATATCAGAGAGAAACAAAAATAGATCACACACACCCCTTGAATTTTATTAGCATGTAACTTTTGAGATAAATCTTTTAAGTGGCAACATGCATGTCCCAAATCTGAATAGTTTCAGAAGTTATGGAAAATTTAAATATTTTGTTGCATACAGATTTATTTTTAAAAAATTAAGATAGGAATGATCCAGCTACAAAGTATTTTTTTAGTGCTATAATAAAAACAAAAATACATAAATATTTTGGGAAAGGGAAAGGAGGGTAAGAATGGTTTTGAAAATTTCATAAGGATAATATCTCACTTCCATAATGAAAACAGCACCCCAAAATTAGAAATAAACAGAACTAAATTTCCGATGTTATAATTTTCCATGCTGGTCAAGTTCAGATAGAAAATAAGTCAAATGTAACTTACAATGAAGTTTTTACAGGGGTGTGTGATTACTGTATCTCCTGTTTGCATGGTGGATGATATTTTTAAATTATTAGAATATATGAACTGTTTTAAGTGTAGGGATAAAATTAATCATATATTAGATGAAACCACACACTGGAGCTTCTTGTAATTCAACGTTAGAGTTCCATTTTGAAGTAATAATTTGTGCAAATTATGCAGTAAGTGAACTTGCTCAAAGTGTCACCCACCTGTCTCAATGAGTGGGGAAACTTGATGAGGCCAGTGGCAAAGAGGGGCAAGCCCAGAAGCGAGGGAGGGACACTCTCTATGAAGGGGCACCATTGTAGCTGCTCCTCCCCTCCTCTGGGAGGCTCTTACACAAGTTGGAAGGGAGGAGTGCTGACTGGCCAACATCCCCCAGCTCCTGGAGCACGGGCCATGTGGTTGGAACCACTGTTGGGTCCGTTCCAGCAGTGAGAACTACACAGGGTCAGACATATGAAGCCCCATTGACACCAATGGATCACTAAAATGACTCCATTTTCTCAATTGTAGTTTATTTAAGATACTTCTTTAAGGTGGAATACTAGTAGATGTGGTGTGGCATGTTTTTACAAAATACAGTAATTTTTATGACACTTAACTTCAGCAGTCTTCTATGAAATCTTTGCTAAGAAGTGGAGTGAGACCACATTTTTGTGTGTGCAAATTACAGCACAGTTGGGTTAGCAGAGTGCAGGATAGTAAGACCCTACTGTGCGTATTATACCTTGCAAACCTCCATAAAGAAATAACACTTTAAAAAAGAATTAAACAGTACATATCAGGTTATCCTGCTTACTAGAACTTGAGAAGAAATCATGGCTCTTTTTACCCTTCTGCATTAAATAGAAACTCAACTGACTTTCATTTTTAAGTATTTTATTAAGAGTTGAAATTTCTAGACTTCTCCTTCTTTCTCCTGAAAATTTAACACAGAAAGTGACAACATTCATATTTAATACTGCTATATTGATGTTTCATAATTACAAAGTTGCTTCCTTACTGATTCCCAGACACTAATATTTAATTTAAAAATGAATTATTTCAAAGAATGAATATTTTTGTTTTTATGTTGCTTAAAACTTTCACTAAAGATAGTAATTAAAGTGTTTTATAGTTTGTTTTCAGAATATTTGCATCGTGTATTATGTAAAGAGTACACACCAACATTTCTGTCATTACTTTTTAAATATGGAAATGTGTCCTGTGAAGCCTTATTAATAATAGAAAAAATATCATTGCATAGTATGTTGCAGTTAGGGACTTCCCCAGTGTTTTATGGCTTTGTGGTTCATTAGCCACAAATATAGTCTTCCTCTGCAGCAATTCTGTGTTTCTTGTGATGAAGCCTCTTTGTTACTTCATAAGATGTCACAGATGTGTGAAAAGTAGGCCACAGGTCGAAGGCTGCATGCCCCCTACCCGTACAAATTGAAAGTGACAGACACCTCCCTGCTCTGCCACTAATTTGCTTCCATGTTAAATGCCTCTGAATCACTAATTAAAATGAAAACTTCTTGGGTCCTACCAACAGACTGATTGAGTTATTTATGGTGGAAGTGGTCACCAACAGTAATTGCAGTACATCTTTGAACAAATTCAAATTTTTGCATTCAAGAATAGCGCCAGGCTGACAGGGGTCATAGGGTTCAAGCCCACTGAAACAAGAGGCCAAAGAAAGGCAAAATCAGTGTTCTGTTCATCTTAATACAAAATCTCCTTTGTCTCAGCTAACTGCTTAGGTGTCCGAGTTGCTTTTTAGTCCTTCGAGACCTAATTATGCTTCCTTTAATTAATCACTGTAAAAACTTCATTAGGGAAGAATGTGACTACGACTGCTGAATTTTAATTTAACCATAATACTTGTCTACTGTGGTCCTGAAAAGGTGATTTTTAAGTTTGACTGTCTTGCCTATTTCTTTTCAGTGAACGAACAGATTATAATTTTTTTTTTAACTTTATAGCCAAGTACACATCCATGTAGCAGCCATGATTTTTCAGTGGAGGCTTGCTGTCTGCACAAAACTGCTCATGGGAAGCCAGGAAGATACTAATGTTCTAAGATGGGTCTAGAGGGCATATTAATAATTGATTTAACTGGTGTTGCATGCTGGAATGCAGCATCTTTTTCAGAAAGTTGTATAATGCATTGGCTCTCAAAAAGAGGGCACAGATACTATACTTTGTTAGATGTTTCTTAGAGCCTGAATGTAAAATTAAAATCACTAAATATATTTTTAAGGTTAACTTTTTAAGTAGTCTTGTACAGTACACCTTACTTCTTATAGTAGTAAAAATAAATGGTTAATTTGACTTCCTTGCCATGTAATTATATTTTTCATTGACATGCTGGCTGCTCTTCAAGCTTTTTCTAAAGTGTGATAGCAGACTGCAATGTGATTTTGTTGCTGTAGAGACCTGGCAAATTATAGATAAAAGTTCTTGCTCACTGTTTAGTAGTATAATAGGAATAAATTATAATAGGTTTAGATATAACAATTTTTAAACAGACTTTACACGCTAATGTATTCAACAGCATGATACCTATATGTGAGCCTGAATTACACAGTCATCTGTTGTGTGCTAATAATCTTGATACACATTTTAGAATGTAATTTTGAACCACATGTTGTATTCCCAAGTATTTTGTTATATACTTTGAATAGTAAATCTTAGGATAATTAAAACTAGCGTTTATGTTGGGGCTAATCTTAATGTATTTAGTAGGCTAGTTATGTTCTGTCCACTGAAAACATTCCTTTTTTTTTTTAATGTTTCAGAAGGCTTGGAGGAATTTTAAACTTTTGCTAAACACCTTAATTTCACTTTCTTTCAGGAGACAAGTTGGAATTTTTATTAAATCATCACTACTGTCAGCCACCAAATCTCATCAGGCTTCACTGAACAAACCAAGTTTAAAATTTGTCAAGTAGCAGGGCCAGTTGCTAAGGGTGACAGTGCACGGGAAGGATTAAAAGTGAACAATGACTCAACTGAAAGAATACGTCAGATTACTGGGAGCCTATCTGTTCATCAGTCTTCATGTTCAAGGTAAATTCATATTTGTTTAAATCTCATTGTTTTTTTAATAATCTTTCATTTGGAGTGGCTATAAATTCCAGTGGTTTTATGATATGGGTCCTGTTCAAATATCTGAATGTACAGTACTGTTCTTTTACAAGAGTAAAGTTTGTGTGGCTAATCAGTGGCACATTTGTGTTAGAAGATTGTGAGGGAGTAAATTTAGTGACAAGTGTATAAATTGATTTAAATGTTAGATCTTTTCTATCTTTCTCAGTGTGCATGAGTGGGTCTCACTAATGGTGATTGGTATCATGTCTGCATAAAAGGGATGATTTTATTTATATTTCCTTACACAAATGTGGATAACTTGTATTTTCTTTATGGGTCTGATATCATAGGTATGTATAGATGTTACTATGGACAAGTGATCAGTCAGCCTCAAATGGTACAAAGAAGTACCCAGAATTGCAGATGACTATCCATGTTCTGAACATATGCAGTAGCTTTTTGCTAAGTTCATTACGTATGTGCATCACTACTTACCCTAAAAGTTTCAAATTAGTACTTCCAAGTGTTTTGGGAAACTAGGGTGTGGTGGTAAACGGGATCTTTCTGCTGCTTTCCTTGCGGAAAAAGCTTCCTAGCCTAAGGGAACATGTAAATGACTGGGAACCAGGAGGGCTGCTTCTACTCTATTCTCAGCACTTCACAACCCTTATTGTGAGTGGTCTGTTACTACAACCTTGATGGCTGAAGTGTGGAAGTTGCAGTTTAGCATAGAAATATTTATTGAGTGGTAGTTTATGGCCTTGTTGTAGCGGGGAAACTGCTTTTCATTTGCGCAAGCTGTGAGATTTTGGAAATCAAGTACTATGCATGTACATCAGTGTTTCTATTATGTTTAAGAGCACACCTAAGAGAAGATGTGCTATATATGCATCCACTAATGGGCAAGGAGAAATCTTCTGTTGAGAGGACGAGACCTATAGCATCAGTTTCTTCAGTATTTGAGCTTTCATTCAAAAACAAAAACCTGGAAAATTGTAGTTTTATGGTTGCAGAGGCGTTCACAAGCATACACAGGGCATACCAGAGTACAGTTGTCAAGTATCAGAGGGGTAGCCGTGTTAATCTGGATCTGTAAAAAGCAAAAGAGAGTCCTGTGGCACCTTTAAGACTAACAGATGTATTGGAGCATAAGCTTTCGTGGGTGAATACCCACTTCGTCAGATGCATGTCAGACGAAGTAGAGTAGAGTTCTTTCCTAAGTCTGCAGACTGCTCCAGTACCTCTGCATTGATCATAGCTTTGCCAAACAGCTGTGCAGTTAACAGGACTCTAGACAATTTGACTGCTATTATTTAGTGCATATATGTAAACAGGTTTGCAGCTTCTTGCCAGACACACATCAATCACTGCTTGATGTCATATGGATGGCTCAGTTTTATTTTTAGATGTCACTTGAGCTGCTTATTCTTCAAGAGTAAGAGCCGTCCGAAGATGGAATTAGATGTAAAGGGGAAATTATTTATTTTGTAGTTCTTCAAGTGATGGCTCTTCTCTGTAACTTGAAGTCTTCAAGTCATGATTTGAGGACTTCATTAACTCAGCCAGAGGTTAGGGGGTCAATTACAGGAGTGGGTGGGTGAAGTTCTGTGGCCTACAATGTGCAGAAAGTCAGACAAGATGGCCGGTGCGTGTGCCCTGGATGCCCCTGTGCCGTCCCACCTGAAGGCATCAAGGGCAGAGAGGTCTCTGCTGTCCCTCAGTTTCTTCTTAATTCCTTTGGTGGTGAGACAGATCCCCTGTCTGATTCTCTGCACACATTGTGACTTTGCTACTCTTTTATATAGTTAGGTTAATATAGGTTTTTCAGGTTCTTCGCAGTCACATTGTTGTGATGTGATTATGACATAATTATGATGTATTTTATGCAAGATAAGTCATGTAGGGTGTCGTCGGAGAGGTTGTGATTTGCTGAATATGCTTGTCCTATTTGTATGCATGTATCATTTTTGTATCTGAGATTATGAATATTAACTATGTATCTGTATTTCAGGTGTAGTTGCACCTGGGTGGTGCCCGCTGGACAGGATGCTTTCGATGGTGGGTGGGTGGGGAAGGCAGGGCCTGTTCAGGGCAGTGGGCCATTGGGGAAAAAACAGAGGGCCTTGGGGGGAGGCTTGTCTCTCACCTGGGGAACCTTCCTGAGAGCGCTTCAGACAGCCGCCGAGCGATGGCTGCTGTGACTCTGCAGGGACATGTGATGAGACCACATGTCTCTGGACTCCATCTTGGGATGTCAGTGTTTTCCCACGGACCAGTCTGGGAACCAAGTTTTGGGAGCAAAGGGTTCCCGCCATATGCAAAGGCTATATGGGTCAGGGAGTGACATCATCTGATGTTCTTCACTCCCCACCCAGGAAGACTCCTGGAAACACCTGAGCAACAAAGACTGAACTGGGGGAAGTGCTGAACCCAGGCTAAAGGGATTTTTAGCCTGTGAATAAAACACCTGGCTTTACAGCTTGGAACCTCCAAGTGCAGCTTGCCCCTTAAGAATCTGCAACCTGCTTGTATAATCTCTTAGGGTGAGAATCATAGATTCTTCTTCGAGTGCTTGCTCATATCCATTCCAGTTAGGTGTGTGCGCACCGCGTGCACGATCGTTGGAAGATTTTTACCCTAGCAACACCCGGTGGGTCGGCTGTGGAGCCCCCTAGAGTGGCGCCGTTATGGCGCTGGATATATACCCCAGCCGACCCAGCGCCCCCTCAGTTCCTTCTTACCGCCCCTGACGGTCGTTGGAACTGTGGAGCGCGGCTTAGCTGATCTCCACACTCCCTAGCTTCTCATTGCTCTTGTTATAGTTAGTTATATAGATAGTTGTTCAAGTTAGTTAGTTAGTTAGTGTATAGTGTATATATATATAGTTGTATATTGTTATCGGGGGTTTAGGGGGTGTTTTTCCCCTTTTCCCCCCCGGCGCACAGCCGGGCCCATGCCCAAGGCTCCTGGCTTTAAGCCGTGCGCGTCCTGCGGGAAGCATATGCCAACCAGCGACCCGCATAGTTCTTGCTTGAAGTGCCTTGGAGAGGCTCATCCAGCAGATAAGTACCCTATTTGCAAGGCCTTCAAGCCAAGGACAAGAAAGGAGCGGGACTTTAGACTCCGTCAGCTCCTGATGGAGGCGGCTCTGAGTCCGGATCCTCCCTCGGCGCGCCCTGTCCCGGCACCGAGCGCTTCGGTGCGCAGCGCCCCGGCGGGCCCAACCGGTGCGGCGGAAAAGACTGCTCGGCACCGACCGACGTCGGCACCGCGCCCGCCTAAAGAACCTCGGCGCCGATCTCTTTCTCCGGGCCATAAGAAGGCCGGCAAGGCGCGGGACGTTGCTGCCGCGAAGATACCGGCTCCCCCGGTGCCGGGGGTAGAGCCGCGTCCGCAGTTGGACCGCCAAAGACAGGCGGCCACACCGTCGACTCCGGCACCGAGGCCGTTGAGTCCGGTGCGGACTGTTTCACCACCAAGGCTGGTGGTGGAACCTTGTCTCCCTTCCACCCCGGAGACCTTCGCTACGGCGAGAGACTTGATCGCCCTCACGGAGCCGGCGCCGTCACAACTCCCGGCACCGGTGGCTCCACGCGTCCTGCAGTCCAGGGGAAAACCTGCCCTGGTGCGCCCACCGTCGCCAGCACGAGTCTCTCGGCACCGCTCCAGATCCCGGAGCAGGTCCCGACGCCGCTCGGAGTCCCGGCGCCGAAT